AAGCACAATACACGAAAATGTTCAAGAATGAATGGTAACGCGATTCGAAGGATGCTGTATTACACTGAAGCACGCACCACCACCACCACCTTCTTCTTCTTCTTCTTCTTCTTCTTCTTCTTCTTCTTCTTCTTCTTCTTCTTCTCCTTCTTCCTAGAGTGCACCCAAGCACAATACACGAAAATGTTCAAGAATGAATGGTAANCTTCTTCTTCTTCTTCTTCTTCTTCTTCTCCTTCTTCCTAGAGTGCACCCAAGCACAATACACGAAAATGTTCAAGAATGAATGGTAACGCGATTTGGAGGAGGCTGTATTACACTGAAGCACGCACACCCTGGAACATCCCAACACAATCGAGCACTACGGTGTATAGTGGAATGAAATCATCAGCATATCTTACTAGGACCACTTAACCTGCAGCGGCCTGCCAGTGCGCTCACTCATTTGGAACATCCTTCACTCCATGTAAAGGAACAGTCAATGGACTAAACGCCGCACACAACAATTTACATTTCATTGGAGTCAACCATCCGGCATGGCGGGTTCTGTTCAACTTAAATGGAGGAATATAACATGATCTGGAGTCAAAGGGTTCTATACCATACTCAATACGCTCTACCATATTCAAGGCTTCCAAGCACTGAAAACTATATACATGTCACATATCTATCACGTAGTATCAACTAGAAGAGGGCACTTTGTGAAATAAACGACGAACTGACACAAGACAAACATGAAGAGCACAGTGAAACCATTCTTTTCATCATTTCTTCTGTTAGCTCCTCATTTAAACATACTGGAGCACATAATGTCTGCCATGTCTAACACTCCCAAACATTGTACAGTACAATCAGGTGAGTGTGCCCTCCAGAACTCGAGCAAGGGTACGGCCTCCAAGCATCAGACTTACCAGGTCTTCAGGCGGCCTCCAGATGCTCACAGATACTTTGGTAGCTTCTCCTCCAGGTCTGTGACACTTGTCACCCGCACCTTCATCTTCGTTTGGCATGTTTGCTTGTGTTTTGAAATAGATTGCAGTGGCATGAATGCGAAGCACAGTGCTTACATCCCGAGTGCTCAGTTTTGCTTCCTTCAGCGCTTCACGGACACCTCTCTCGACAGCAGATTGCATCTCATCCTACATTCAACAAAGGATAAGGTTCCATGTTAAACCACCACCATCCCCAAACTCGTCTGGAAGCCACATTGTTATACCGGGGGGCAATGGATTTGATCCAAATTTGGTGTGAAATACACACATGAAACGGTATTCACCAGTTCGCAGTAGCTGATGCTGATCCCAGGGCTCGATCCCTAGTTCCCCATCTTACCTGTGTACAGTACCGGTGTCAACGCGTAGATTTGAACCTGCGACCTGTAGGACCGCCAGTGGTAGGTAGGATTTCGTAGGCTATAGGGTAGAAGAGATTCGAACTGTAGACCTGTCGGGTAGGAGTCTAGACAGTCTAGAGGTCGTAGCTGTAGACTGTCCGAAGGGTCAAGGTCGCAGCTGCTACTTACCTGAAAGGGCAAAGTCGTAGCTGCTACAGTACCGAAAGGCCAAAACAGAGAGTTCTAGAAGTGGCCTTTCGGAGTCAGCCTACGTTAGGCAGAGGCAAGTGGTCAAGTGGTGGCAGTCCACCTCGTACAGTCAGCAGTCCCAGTCCACCCAATCCGGTCCAGTCAAGCAAGTACTGTCTGGGACTGTGCACACCGTGGGCCAAGGGATACAGGGCAGACCAACGCACCACAGAAGTATAAAGCAAGAGGCTGCGCCCAGCCATTCATTCATTCCTGCGGAAGCCATGCGGAAGCGCTGCCTCATCGTCTTGTGCAAGGAGGTCTGCTGGAGACCCGAAGACGAAGTGGGCGAGAGTGAAGCAGTGTAGCCATAGCGATAGGTAGCGGCAGCCATAGCTGCCATAGCTTAGCGTAGAGTGCAGTGTGTGTGTACGGTGTGAGTGTGCAGAGTGATGTGCGTGGGACATCCAGGGTGATCCCGAGTGTGAACAGCGAGTTGTTTGAGGCGCACAGTCGCCATAGCCAGTGGAAGCGAA